GACTTAATATCAGCCGACTCGAATTAAAGGTATCGGGGACTTTGTAGAAGTGGATTATGTTGGAGCTACTCTCACCACTCAGGAAAGGAGGATGGATGCTCCAGTTCACCAGTATCTTAGTTACAGAATAACCTGCCTAAACCATTTCTTCCCAGTTACAGGCATTTTATTATCCTTCAGATGAGAAAATGTATTTTTTCCTTCTCACCTCTACCCCGTTAGCACCCCAAGCATGCCGGTGGGAAGGCAGCACCCCCTCGGCTTCCCCGCTGCTCTGGAAATGTCAGCTGGTTACGACTGCTGGGCTGGGAGGGGAGGACACAGTGTTTCTGAGTACTTGTGTTTTTTCCAGGCCTTTTTCTGATCCCTTTCCAAAGACCTTTTCCCTAGTTGAACTAACAACAGCTGCTGGAAAGTTCCTCCCCAAGGGAGGGGAAAAGACATAGATTTTTTATTGGTTTTTTTTCGTAAACGAATAACTTCACAACAGTAAAACAAAACAGGATCGGCTCTGCTGGCAACCGAGGGAAGGTCTGGTGGTGAGAGCTACTGGTGTGACATACCTGAGGCTTTGCAGGACCATATTTACCTGTTGCCGACCTTGGTGGAGATCCATCGCTCCCGGCTTTCTGCCCTGAGTTTGGGAGAAGAGCCAAGCGCTGAGTCATTAAGGAATCCACGCAACGGCGGGGCCAGGGCAGCAGGTCGGTGAGCAGGAGGAAAGGGTATTGGAAGATCTGGAGATGTCCCTTGCAAGGAGAGAAACGGAGACCTTCTTCCACGAGCGGCCCAAGACTGGGAACCTGTATTTGGAAGATGCTTTGCTTCGGAGTTACTTGAAAACACATCTTCCCCCCAAGGTTGGGCGTGTGTGTTTGTTTCTTTGTGTACTCAGCACAGTCCTAAGACTGAACTGAACGTTTCTCTGAGCCATTTTGCGCCTTCGAGAGTTTAATGGAGCGGGGGGTGGGGGAGTAATTTCTTAACGTTCTTTAAAATTTGTTATCCTTGTCTCAGGGGTGAAAAATACTGCCAGGACAGAGAAATAGAAGGTGGCTCAGTGGAATTCTGTGGCTGGTCTGGGTGTTGCAAGAAGAGCAGTGTTTTGGGTTTGTCAGCGCGGGCATCGGTCACCCAGAGAAAGAAATTCCAGAAGTAAGGGAAAAAACTGAGGTGCTTCCGACCTCTGCCGTGCTCTTTCAGTTCTCTCCCCTCAGGGCAGAGGGGCTTTTAAGGCAATTATGAAGGAAGGGGCCTGTTCTCAGCTGCGCGCTCCAGAGAGTGCAAAGGATGGGGTCTGGGTGTTCTCAGCAAGGGTGTTTGGCTTTTCTGGGTTAATTTTCAGACACGGAAGGCTCTGTACAGGTCACAGGGCTGTGACCCTGAGCTTGCGGGGCTCTGCAAGGTCCAGTCCTACAGGAACCCCGGGGAGAGGGTGGCTCATCCCCCTTGCTGTCCTCTGCTGTCACCCCAAGGACCAGAGCTGTTTCCTGCTTTTGAAGGACCAGACCTCACGGAGCAGAGTGTGACCTCGGCCTTTTGACCATCGCTAAGATCACGTGAAGTATCTGTGACCGCTCGTTGTGATTTACTCCAGCAGAAGCCATCGGGCGAATGGAGGGGCAGAACGTGGCTCTCAGTGACACTCTTCCTGGAGCTGCTTGCTCTCCAGGTCTGCGAGGCCCTGCAGCCACGGCGTGGTAAGAGCACGGTGGCAGCCCCGGCGAGCCTGCTTTTGTCATGGCCATCACGAATTATGGGAGTGAGGCCTCCCTAAGCACCCCTGTGGCCTTCTTGCCAGAAGAGATGATGCAGGAAAAGGAGGATGAGTTTTGGACAACCGTGATGATCTTGCTCCTGATCCCCATTGGAAGGAGCATAAGTCGGACCTGCTGAAGATGTGTTTTGTCAAGGCTGAGACCTGCTGCTCTGTCCT